CAGCATCTTGGCTGCTGCTGCCCTCCCCGTGAGGCCCAGCCCCTGGACAGATGCCCTTTTGGGCCCAGCTCAGGGCAGTAGAACTGCCTACAGCGCCTCTGCTTTCTGCCTCCTGCTACCAGGCAGGTGAGTGGGGCTGGCCAGGCTCTGCTCCTACTCACACTCAACTGGTTGAGTGTCTAACTGTGACCAGCCTTGCTAACCCGTCCTCCCATCATTTCCCACTGAACCAGTAGGCAGAACTGGATTCCTGTGAGGCATCCAGGGCCCTACTTTGGCCAGGCCCTGTGCTCGGTGCTGGGAGACACAAGACACAAGCCAGAGCTGCTTCCCCTGCCTCCACCCCTGCCATCTTGCACTCTGGTGCCTTGTTCTGCAGCCTGTGTGGGCTGGCCTTGCTCCCTACTCCGGCTCTGGAACAGCTAGGCCACCTCATGGCTTTGTTCCTGTGCTGAGACTGAACCCCGTCAGTCACCAGAAACCTCCTGCTCTCATGCCACCTCCCTGGATCCAGTCTCAACACGGAGACACGCTGGGTGGGGCTGGTTCTCTCAGGCTGTGCTCTATTTTGGGGGTTGAGATTGGGATAAGCTGGGATGGAGGGGAGAGCCTGCTGCCCCAGCTCCATGACCACCACCCCCGCCAACCCCACCTTGGGCACCCTGGACCATCAAGGGGCTTCTTCACTCCAGATGGCTTGGGCCAGCTCCCTTAGCTGGGATCCCAGAAGGGATCTCTCTCCTAAAAATAGGGGTTCTTCCCACTGATGGTCAGTCATGGTGACCAGGATGGGCAGCAGTGAGGTCACGATAGTGCCAGCTACTTGGGGGTTGTGACAGAAGAGGATGACAGGTGCAAAGTACGTTGGCATGGCTGGTTTCAAGGTGACATGCAGGGAGGTGGCCAGCTGGCCCAAGGCTCTAGGAGGGAGGATTGTTCACACAGTGCTATGAAATAGGGGGGATCTGTGGGAGGAGGTACAGGAAGACCTTATCACTGCACCTCCCTGATAATCCTGGGACAGTGAGAGCAAGAGACTGGACAGAGGCCAGTAGGAGTGGAGCCATTGGGTGGAGCCATTGAGTGGAGCATTGAGGTCACCTGAACCTCAGGTGAGGTGCCTGCCCCTGCTGTGGTCACCCAGCCCCTGCTTGTGCCAGGTGTTGCACAGAGAGAGGGGAAAAGCTCCCGATCCAGGGCTTCTGGGCTGGCAGCCAGACTCATGCCCAGGCCGCCTGAGCTCGTGCTGCCTGCCGCCCGCTGAGGCGCTTGTTATGTGAGGGAGAAAAGGCGAACCCCAGGCACCAACTGCTACTGAAAATGATACTTTCAAAAAATATTTAATAATAGAAGATTTCAAAATACATCATAAAATGAATAAATCAGATCACCAAAGTGCATAGAGTGTGGACCTAACTGTAGTAATCCATACATCCCGTGTAAAGACCAGTGTGCCAAGGCCGGGGAGGGCTCACAGCAGCTCATCATGTGCAGGGTGATGGGGACTGTCATCTGTTTTCTGTTATTTTCAAAAATTTCCCTGGCACTCGTGTCATGTTTTCTTAAGTGAGAAAAAAAATAAAAAATAATATTTTTTAAAAAAGGGCCAAATGCTTGCCCAAGGCTTCCCAGTAAGAAGAGAAACCTTTGATGGAAAGTCCCCCTCGGCTTCCTGTGAGGATACAGGGGGCACCACACTCACCAGCAAGGCACGGGTGGGCCACGCCTGCCCTTCATCAGGAGAGACCCCAGTCAGTGCTGTCCCTGTGCTCTCCCAGGAAGGTGAGAGTGCAGAAGGAAAAAGAGAGAGTGGATTTTTGAGGTAAGTCCAGCAGCACCTCCAGGGCCCATCCCGGAAGGAGAGGGTGTTCCTGGGAACACTGGCCAGGGAGGCCCACAGGAAAGGTCATTTAAAATGAGATACTGTGCTAAGTGCTCTATGGGCGCATCTGACCCTCAAGAGGCCTTGCAAGGGCAGAGCCAGGCCAGCACCCCTCGATAGAGCAAGGAACAGACACAGAGGGCTTGTGATGAGGTTGGGTCACAAGAGCCAGAGCCAGGACTGGACACCAGATCTGTTTGACTCTAAAACCCCTCCTTCTCCTGTCCACAGCCTCTTTTCCTGCAAAATTGTGGGGAATTTCTCTAAAGCACGTTACCCACTTTCCTACAGAAAGCCACAAAAACACAGGACTTCACATGCTCAGCTGGTAGCAGGGCCAGTACCACACTGCGCTTGTGAAGGTGTCTGTGGGGATCTCTGCTCCTGGGCCCCGGGTTGGCCACCTTACTTTTGCTTGTGACGTACAGCTGTGAACATAGTCGGGGCAGCCAGAGGCAACCAGAGAGCCAAGTGGCTGGGCAATAAGACCACCCCCTCATGGGCTATGTGCCTACTGTGTTCTTCCTTCTCCAAAACCTTGTCTATTTGATGACACCTGGTGGCTGCCTAAAGGCACCAGCATTCTGGCCATCAGGACAGCTACACTCTGCTTTGCTGCAGGAAGAGAGAGTCGTGTCATGGTCCTTACATTCCTGCTCCCATACCTGGGGGGAAAGGCAGAGTCTGCATCTTCAGAACATTCATGTCACCCCATCCTGGACCCTCAGACCAGGTCAAGTCACGCACTGGGCTTTGGAGAGACCAAACACTGATGTTTGTCGAATAGTTCCCAAGCCTCCACTACCCTGATGTTGGGAGGAGAGAGCTGTCAGGTAAAGTCCTGAATCCTGTGGCTGGGCCCTTAGGTTTGGGGGGAGGGAGAGGGAGGATGGCAGAGAGATTCTCAGACTGGAAGAGCTTTGGGGATGAGTGTTGCACCATAGTTTGACCTGGATGTCCCTCAAAGGCACATGTATTAAAAGTTTAGTCCCTGGCTTGCTTCTATTGAGGTGGGGAGCTTTAAGAGGTGGGCCTTAATAGGAGGTCTCAGGTTCATTGAGGTTTGCTCTGGGAGAGATAGTGGGACCCAAGCCTTTCCTCTTCTTCTTTCTCTCCCTCTGCAGCTTCTCAGATGCCATAAGCTAACAACTTTGCTGTACCCCACACCCCACAGCATGATCGGCTGCCTCACTACAGGCCCAGAAATAATGGGGTCAACCAACCAGTGGCTAAAACTTCTAAAACATGAACCAAATTCTTGGGGGGCTTTTTACTTTTCTTTCTTTTTTTGTTTTGTTTTGTTTTGTTCTGTTTTGTTTCAGATAAGGCCTGTCTCTATTGCCCAGGCTGATATTGAACTTGTGGGCTCAAGAGATCCTCCTGATTCAGCCTCCTATGAGTAGCTGGAACTACAGGAAACCACCATGCCCACTTAAAACTTTCCTCTTCTTTAAAATTGATTGTCTTCAGTATTTTGTTACAGTAACAGAAACCTGACTAACACAAATCCTATGCCCTCATGTCATAGATGAAAGAATGAAGCAAGAATGAGAAAGGGAATTTGCTTCGACACTAAGCAAGTCAGTCTGCTGAACATTCAGGCTGGTGCTTTGTCTAATCCCTGCAGGCCTTTGTTTGAAGCCTACATTCATGGGGAATTCACCACCTTCCAGACAGTCTGGACCTACCCTTTGTTGTATATAGGAGGGTCTCTTCCTCTGAACTCACACAAGGATGTCCTCTGGTCCAGCTAAAAGGGCTGCTGTCCCACAGCATGGACCCAAATTGTCCACTGCTGCTGCCCTCCCTGAGGTCTGTCCTCAGAGGTGCAGAGTGTAGACTCCAGAGATGTGCATCCCTGGGCATGTGGGTGGGTCCACTTCTGCTGGGTGTGCTGCAGATGGGGGTGGGCCCAGGATCTGCTTTTAATGACAGTTCAGACAGCTGGACTCTGTCTGTTCTGGTAGGTAAATTACAGGCTTAGCAAGTTCAAAATCAAATAAACACTCCAACTCCCAGTGGCTGCTCCAAGGAGAACAGTGGTTTCCGGGAACAGTGGAGGCTGAGACAAACCTCCCCACCCAATGCAGCCTAATTACCACCTGTCACTCCCCTGGGACAGGGGCCTTTTCTTTGACTCACAGGTCCCAGAAACAGGACAGGGCTGCTGGGCATCCAGGGTGATGCCAACTGTGATGACCAGCCGCTTCTTAATTCCCAGGCATAAGCAAACACTGACAATCCTCGCCCTTGTTCCGTGCCTGGTCAGCCTGCCCATGGCCATGCCCCAGGTGGAGTGGATTGCTCCTCAGTGGGGAGCTGAGTTCATTCCAACTGAGCAGCTCTCAGTAGCCACTTGTGTTCTGTGCTGAGGGTGCAGAGGGCCCATCCAGGTGCAAAGGGAGAAGTATACAGAGTGGTCACAGATGGTGGCCACAGGAAAAGGAACACCATTGCAGCCATGTCCTTGTTTCTGCTGAGAGGTCAACGTCTCAGTGCCCAGCCCCAAATAGATCATCCTGGCGGAGATGACTGTGGGAACCAGAATCCTCCAAGGTTCTTTCTTTCAGTGGGAGTCAGGCCTCTTCCCCAGCACAGGCCCAGGAAAGGGGAAATCACAAGCAATAAAATGTCCCCACCGCCTCACCTTAAGTCACGGGGCCCAGTCAGCTTGTTCTTTTTCTAATAAGCTAACAATGCCCAAGGGCCAAGTCAGTGGAACCCAATAATACACTGAACTCAGGACATGTACATGCCCAATTATGCTCCACAAATGCCCAAGTGGTAGACCTGAGAAGGGACAGAACCCTTCTGCCCATCTCGGACCCTGTGGTAAATGGTACAGAGCCCCATTCAGCCAGTTGCAGTCTCCTTAGACCATCCAGGGTTGGCCACAGCCTGGGCCAGCGATGCCATGGACAGGTCCTCTGTCAGGACTTCAGCGCAGGCCCCCAACCAAGGAGGCACAGCTCTGAGGCTGCTATGTGCATTTGGCCCTTTGATGGCAGTGTTGGGGTGTTCAATGCCACAGACCCCAGGAGAAAGGTGTGGAAGAGCCTGGAAAAGACAAGAAGCTTGGCAGGAGAGAGCAGTGGAAGGAGGGGTTTCCCCATTACAGTGAGCTCTGAGAACTTATGAGGGTCCCCTGCATCTGGAGAGGAGCTGATCCAGATGGGGAGGGACAGCAGCAGCAGTGCAAGTGGGCAGGGCCTCAGTGGCAGCCGCAGGCCTTGACCACCATGTTGCGGTGCTTGCGCAGGATGACATTGTTGCTGCTGTCATAGTAGAGCACAGAGGTGGCGCTCAGCTTGGTGGGTGCACAGCATGCCTTGGGGACTGTGTCTGGCTTCATCAAATGCACCTGGCCAGGGAGGAGACACGGGGTGGGATCATGAGCTTAGCAGTCTCTTCCTAGAACACACCCAAGCCACCCTCTGCTGCCTGCACTGGCCTGTCCTACAGGTATCAGCCCCCAGCCCCATCCGAGACCACTCTCCACCTGTTTCCACCGGGCACATCTTCCCTGCTCACCGCCCTGGACACACAGCTGGACACCTGGCACTGCTGTCCAGGCCATGCACACCTGCTCCTCAGCTCTCTGGGTCCCCTGCCCACCCCTGCCACATCTGCTACCTCCACAAGTGGGCAACATGTGCTGGGGCGCACCTGCAGCCTCTGCTTCCCCACGCTTTACACTTCTACTCTATCCCCATGGGGTCCGTCATTAGCTGTGCACAGGTCTGTCCCTACACAGCTGGAGTGTGGGGAGCATTCATGGAACCAGTGGATGAGACCTAGAGCCTGGGTGTGCTCCCCACTCAACAACAGCGGCCAAGGCAAGGAATGGTCTCTGCCAAGGATGAACTGAGGCCACACAGTGGGCTACGTGACAAGCCTGAGTGAAGCAGGACTGGAACCAGGTGCCAGATCCCTCACCCCCACTAAAGCAGCCTTTACCCTCCCCAAAGAGCTGAAGGAGCCAGCAGTTTCCAGGATGAGCTGCCATTTATCCTGGATCCCTCACAGGACTCACACACAAGGGTCCTGGGAGACAGCACCGCCACCTTCAAAGGGAGCCAGAGAGCCAAGGAACCAGCTTCCCTCATGTGTGTTTGGCTGCTCCAAGGCCTCACTGCTGCTGACCAGGACCTGGATGAAGCTGTGTGATGCTGCTCTGGCTCCCTTCTCCTGGCCCTAATTCTGAGCCAATCTGCTAGGGAGGACTGTCACCAGACACTGTAGCATAAGGGCCAGAAGCCTCTGGAGGGATATGCAGCTGGTCTGGAACCTGGAGGCTGCTGATCCCAACTTTCCATCTACAGGCCACATGGGAGGACCCAGGAGATACCAGCCTCCTGTGCAGTCCAAGGGTCCCTAAGTGGCTAGAACCCCAAAGGACCTTCCCTGATCTGGGACATGGGAGGGAAGTCAGCACCACAGGATGCTGGTGCTCCTTGCTCCTTCCCTGAGCCCTGAGCTTCACCAGGAGTGAAACAGAGGGTGATGCCCTTTAATCCATCAGCACCCGCAGACTGATTTGTGGAGCGTAAGGTGTCATCCATTCAATTCATCATTATTATTATTATTATTATTATTTAATTTGTATAGGGAATTGAACCCTGGGGTACTCTAAATTGAGCATCCCCAGCTCATTTTACTTTTTTTTTTTAAATAGTGCTGAGGATTTAACACAGGGCCTTGTGCATGCGAGGCGAGCACTCTACCAACTGAACTATATCCCCAGCCTTCTTTTTACTTTTTATTTTGGAGCAGGATTTTGGCTAAATTGCCCAAGCTGGCCTTAAACTTGAGACCCACCCTCCTGCCTCAGCTTCCCATCTCTGGGATTAAGGTGTGTGTCATTGCACCTGGATCAATTATATGGAAGAAGTGCTGGAATTCAGAGACTATGTATCCTTGAGGACAAATTATATATCTAGAGACCACAATATTCTCTGAAGAACACAGAGAAACACACTTTTCTCATTCTCAATACGCTGTGTCTGTACAGGAGCCAAGGGGAGCCAGGATTCTCCCTGTTCTCATAGCCTTGTGGGAAATAGATGGGGAGAGGGTAGCATTTCAATGGACATGTTGTAGTGGCACCCTCTCCTCCACAGAAAATTTTAATTAAGCTTCTCCAGAAATCTTCACCATAATCGATTTTAGGACTACCAGCAGAAGATTCTCTACAAAAGTGTTAAATGTAGTTAAACTTCCTATTATCTGTTGTTCTGTCTTACTTTTGGGCCTGAAAGAGATCAGCACTCCAGGTGCTGAACACCCCATTTGTGGAGTGTAAGTAAAGTTTTTCAAAACCATTTATCCAATATAGTAGTTTGTAGAAGTGTGTCTGCAAATGCAGAGTGTGTTAAGAAAAACAAATTCTCTTAACTAGGCTTTTGGCCTTGGGCCGGAGCTTCACAGAAATGTTTACATTTCAAAAGTAAGAGAAGAAGTTACCAACTGGGCTCCATGGTAACAGCTGGCAGGGGGAAGAAAGAAAGGGGAGAAGAAGCTCTCCCCTTCTCAGGTGTTGTCCTTGAAGGGTTAACCTGCCCAGAACAGTGGAAGAAAAAGCTGCTTTATGTGAACTTCTGCAGACTGTGAACTCCTGAGCCCCTCCCCTTACATGCTGGGTATAAAACTCTGAAGCTACCTGAATTCAGGGTTCAGGGGATTGATTGATTACAGCAAAAGCTGTGCCCTCTGAACCTGGCTGCAGCCAAATAAAACTGTTTCCTGCTATCTTCGGTGACCTACCTCGTCTGTCCCCTGCAAAAATGTGAGGGTGGCCTGGTAACAAAAGTTACCAGAGTCCTGGTGGCCAGCTGAGAATGGGAAGGACATGCGGCTGGGGGATGTTGCACAGGGGGACAGGGGGCTGATGAGGGGCCTGTGTCCCAGGCCAAAGGCTCAGACTTCCTCTAGGAAGAATGGGAAGCCCCTGAAATCTCTTGGCTGAGAATGATGTGGGCAGGTTTGTTGTAGGAAGATCCTGCTGGCTGCTGTGTGGACAGTGGCCGCATGGGTGGGCCTGGGGGGGACCCCCTTCTCCTCTTGGTCCTCAGGACACGAGGCTTGCTCACCTGCTATATCCCAGCCTCCCACAGACCCCCGTGGCTCCTTCTCCTGCCTAGGCCCTGGGAGCCCCACCTTGTCCTGGCCATCTCTCCTGCACTGCTGCAGGGGTCTCATCTGTTCTCACCACTTGCAGACCCTCCACATGTGGCATCTCTATTCTGAACGTCCCCTTGGACCTCTATGTACAACTGCAGATGTGTGATTCACCTGCACATTCGACCTCGTGGGGTGGACGGGGCCTCAGCAGGGCCACTCACTTCCTCCGACCCTGACAACAACTCTGCCCATGTCCAGCCTCCCATCCTGGTCCTGGGAACTCTGAATGGAGCCTCATCCACCCAGTTGCTCAGCCCCACCTGCCTCCCGCCTCCCTCCCCCTGCTCCTAAGTGGGAAGGGCACTCAGCCCCCACCAGTCATGCTGCTTGGGAACCACCTCCCATGACCAAACTGCCCTCACCTCCCATCAGAGGACAAGATAGCCCCTCATTCCTCTCCCCGCCCCTTCCACCTCCCACTCCCCTGGGCCACCCCGACACTGCCACTACAGAAAGACTTCTACCCAGGACTCCAGCTCTGCTTTGCTAAACCCCTGAATTGTTATTTACTTGGAATAAAACCTGCTCTCCTCACAGGGAGCCCGAGCCTGCCTCAGTGGCCCTGCCAGCCCAACTCCACCACCCTCGCCCTCCCTGCCCTCCCTGCCCTCCAGCCCCTGCTTCCTGCTGGCCCTGAACCCACCCAGCTCCATCTCAGGGCCCTCTTCCTCCAGCTCCTGACAGGGCTGCTCCCCCAGTGCAGAGTGGCCCAGTCCAGGCTCCCTCCACCCAAAGCCCAGCGATCCCCGTCTCCCTAGAACACATCTCCTTTGTCGCTGGTTTGCATTTGTGCTCACCACAGCCTCCGAGGGTGTTCACATTTGCTGAGCCACTGTGGGCCTGCAGAGGCAGAGGCTGAGGACATGTGGGCAGGGGACAAGTCCTGCGGAACCACTGCCCCATGCAATAGGAAGCTCAAGGAGGCACCATCAAGTTCATTACTCTCTAAGGCGTCACCTCTGAACAACCTCCTACTAGGAAAACAGTCCAGGGGATTCTGGGACCAGCATCTAGGCAAAAGTTGCAGTCACCAGAGTCAACACACACATCACACTGGCGATAAGCAACAGCAACTACGCTCATGCGAGAACCTTCTTCCATGACCAGAAGGTGCCCAGTCCCTGAGGCACCGCAAGCCCAAGACCTGAGAAAACAAACAGCCAGGAAAGAGCTGGGAGGGGCCCCAGGGGAGCCACGCCCACAAGTGCAGAGACACACCTGGCCAGGGGCCCCACCAGGCAGGGGGTGTCCGCACCCATGTCACGCACACGTGTGCACTTGTGTCAGGGAAGCTAGACCCACCAGGGTTCACAGGACTCAGAGGAGTGGAGCCTGCACCAGGCTGGGCAGCCACACACAGGTCTGTCTGGGTGCCACACGTGCACACGCAGGGCACAGAGTGTGTCTGGGTGCACGCTGACTAGCGTGCACGTGCTCGGGTGGGTGCCCGTGAGTCTCCCTGCAGGCTGTGGCCATGTGAGAGCCTGGACCTGTGACGGAGTCCCTGCAGGTGAAGCGCCTCTCAGCAGCTGCTTGCACCACCCTCCTGGCTGACGAGTCCCCTGTCCCCCACCCCTGACCAGGACCGCGGCACTGACCAGGGACTGCAGGATGGCATGGTTGGTGGCGTTCATGCAGGAGTCCAGCGGGAAGGAGCACTCTCCCTCACAGTAATAGGCTGAGTAGCCTCGGGGGGCGATGACCCAGTCCTGGGGGGAATGGGAGAAGGTGAGCCCATCTCCATGCCCCCTGACCAGCCCCTCAGCCCAGCACCTACCACAGGACCACCCAGGGCTGCCCCTTACAGTCCCTAAGCCTCAGGACCCAACCCCACCCTCAGGACCCCTGGCAGTCTCCACCTGAGGCTTGAATCCACCTGGAGACCCTCAGTACACAGGATTGGGCCTCAGCTCTGTCCTTGTCACATGCCACCCTCCCTCTGCTTTGTTCTCCCTGGCCTGCCCCCCCCCACCAGCTGCAGTACATGCTCCTCTGCCCACCTCAGCCTCAAAAAAAAAGAAAGAAAGAAAGAAAAGAAAAGAAAATCTCACTATAAATGTGAAAACTTTTTCATTTAGGAAACTTAGCAAATCCAGAGGAAAGAATTATGTGAAGAGGAAACCAAAGCCACACGTGATGTCCCCTCCTGCCTGAAGGGACACTTGGGGTCTGCAGGTGGGGCTGCCATCGAGGAGAGCAGAGTCCGAAATTACCAGCCAGCCGAGGTCCTGGAAGCTGACATAGAGCTCGTGCCGACGGCACACCTGCCGCCCGTGGGAGCCGTGAGCGTCATCTGCAGGGACAGACGGTGCAAGGCCTTTTCCGGGGTTCCTGCTCTGTGCAGGTCCCCTGGGGTGCTCCCAAGGTGGGGGACACACTGGTGGGCACATTTAGCAAATAAAGGAGCCACAAGAAACTAAACCACTGGGCCTCACGGAGCTCATCCCTGGATCCCCGCTGGTGCCATGACCCAGCTCAACAGCCTTCAAGGGCTCCTGATCACTACAGAGTGACCCGTGACCAGCTGCACCTCCTTGTCTTTCAGCCTGGGACCTCCTCCACGGAGCTTCCCAGCAGCACCCTCCCACTGCCGCTTCTGCTTTCCTCGGCAGGCACCTCTCGCCCCAGCCCACCCTCCCCACCACACTCGTTCCACAGTCAAGCCCAGGGCTCGGTCCCCACCAGCCAAGGTCCTGCCCACGAAGGAGGCCTCAGACCCGGGCCCCGCCTGGCCCTCACCAAAGATCCCTGGGAGTTTGTTGGGGTACGGCAGCTCGTTGGTCTTCTTCGGCTGCCTCCTCTTCAGTGGCCTGACTGCCCGAGGGGCACGGATGGGACTCGGGCTGGCCCTGAAGAAGGTGACCATGAAAGGCTGTCTGGAGCGTGGTGCCCGTTGCCCCAGCAGGCCAGCCAGGCCAGGATCCACACTGTGCCCTGAGAGAAAGGAGAGAGGGTCACTCATGGGAGGGGGTCCACCATGGACCCAGTAGGGACTCTGCTCCTCAGCAGGAGCTGCAGGCTGAGGGCCCAAGGGGACCCACTAAGCCTCAGTTTCCTCACCTGAAACCAGAGTCCTAAGTCCACTCCAGGTTCCTGGAGGGCATGCCTGAGGAGGCAGGTTGGGGAGGCCTCAGAGACCCCAGCCTCCAGCTGACAGTGACATGGACAGTGAAGCATTTGCCAGGCTTGAAAGTCTTCCCCACTCGTTGCCTCACTCGACTTTATAGTGTCCCTGTGTTTCACACTTGACAGAAGAGACATCAGGGTCACTCGGGATGACCAGAGTCCACTGTTGGTGACACTCAGAACCAGAGCACCCTCCTTGGTGGCAGGACCAGAGGCTGTGTGCTGTCTTGCACGCGCACGCTCTGCCATGTGAAGTGTGATTCGTGACACCACCTGCTCGTGGGGGCCTCCACCTGGACACAGCAGGGCTCACTCTGCCCAGCGCAGCCCAAGAGCAGGGCAGTCACTGCTTCCTGCTGTGCATGTGCCAGGCACTGGGCTCAGGAGGGCAGAGACCAAGTCCCAGAGAACAAAACCCAGAGCCAGGCTCAGCCTCATTGCAGGGCCCAGGTTCACGTTCACCAGGCCAGGCTGGTGGTTTCAAGACCTGTGCCTCAGCCCTAGGATGAGTGGAGCCTCAAAGACAGGATTTCACCCCCTCACTGCTACCAGCTGAGGATGCCATGAAAAGCCCGTTCACCCTGGAGGTGCCAGCAGAACCACCCTGTGCTGGACGCCCTGCACGTGGCCTCTGCTCTTTTCTCTTTCCTTTCTTTCTTTCTTTTTTTTTTTTTCTTCTTTTTTTACTGTGAGCAGGGGTAATAACCACAGTAGAGAAACTCTTGAGAGGAAACCCCTCCCCAACTCCCACCGCTCACTGTCCTTTTCCCTGGCTTTTTTCATGATGCACACTCCACACAGTTGTCAACACAGCAAAGAGGTCTATTTTCCAGCTTTCTAAGGTAAACCTTCTTCCAGTTGTTGACAAACGTCTCCACTACAAACCTGTCAAATGATAAAGCCTCTTTGAGCAGATCCACCCTAATCTCCTTAGGTATTAGCTCATCCTGAGGTTCTTGTCTGGCTTTCGGTATGAAGAGCACGATGGGGACCTCTTCCCTCTGCACCCTCATGAAGCTTCTCACACTGAGCCACAGAAATGCGATAGCTGCTCATTTTCGTCTTTCTCAACAGCACCCATCGCTCAGTTCACATGAGTCCATTTCACCTCCGGGTCTAAGCACCAACACACACATATCCATCCACACACACTCATTACATGTGCATAGAAACACACACACACACACACACACACATGATACATTTATATGCACATTGTATATACAGGCTTATTTATTCCACCTGGAGCCACTGGGTTCTCCATTCCACACCACAGGTCAAGGACACTGGCTGCCCCACCCAAAGTCAGTCCTTCAGCTGCTAGGCCTCAGACCAGGTGTCCACTGGCCACTCGATGAAACTCAGAGACCAACCTTTGACCTATGGCATCACCTGCCACAAACAAATGAACTGGGCCTGTGAGGCTCCTTCTCAGGAATGTGGATGAGATATGTTGAGACAGGGGCTGTGACCTGCAAGTGCTGGCCGGCACTTGGCCCAGAGAGAAGCCCTGAGGGGCATGTGGGTTATGGTGGGGAAGCAGCTATGTGGAGGCAGAGCCACAGGTGCAGAAGAAAAGGCAAGGGAGGTCACCACAGGGACAGGTGGAGTGACAATGAGCAGGGAGGATGGTGACAGTCACAGTGTGGGCACTAGAGTAGTCCCCACAGACTGGCTGACAGTGGCCTCAGACCCAGGGCAAGATCCAGCCTGTGTGTACCACTGGTGCCCTCCTCAGGAACCCTGGGCCCTGGCTACCCCATGACCAGGAGGGCTGTCCATGCTCCAGGCTGTGTTCAAGGGTCTCAAGTGGTCTGTAGGCACAGATCAGAAGTCACATGAAAACAGTTACACAGCAGACCCGCACAGGCTCCTTGAGGGTGGCCTGGTAGGGTCTGGGGACTTATGCATGTGTGTGTGTGAGTGTGTGTGTGTGTGTGTGTGTGTGTGAGAGAGAGAGAGAGAGAGAGGTGAACTGAATTGAGGGCCCTTGGATGCAGCCAACCCAAGGTTTGTATTTATAGGAGCAGGGCAAGAGGACAGACACTGGTCATCTCTCAGTGCTCTGCATCTGGCAGGTCTGGGGAGGTCACCTCTTCCCCAGGACAAAGTCTCCCTTACCCACCAGCTCTGCTCTTCATCTGCCCCATCCTTGGGCAGGGCCCTGGCTCCCACTGGCTGCAGACAAGGCCCAGGCAGGCCTGGCAGTGGCCCCAGGATGCCCAGCTCTGGGCAAACCCCATCCCAGAAAGGCAGAGGTGGGGGCTTCAGGAGACTCTGGGGCCCAGGGCTGTGCTGCTGACCTGAGCATGTGAAGGTGCTGATGGGTATGCCACCCCTTTATTCTTGCTGTGGGGTACACTGTGGTCTTCCCCCATGGACCTGTATGAAACACCATGAGGCCCCATCCTCACCTCATGTCTAAGCCTTCCCATTAAGGCCAGATGGGCTGGCACCTCACCTGGCCTATCCTGACCCCTGGCAGCGCTTAAGCCCTTGGGCATACCAACACTGTCCTAGGCCAGATTTTGCCCCATATCTCCTCCCTAAGGCTTCTTTCTGTTCTGATGCCAGCTTGCTCTTCCTTCAGTCCCCTGCCCCACCTCAGCCTGAGTGCAAGTGACCCTGGAGCCACATGAAGGAGAATTCAGGGGCCTGTTGAATCCCAGGAGTGTCCCAGGCCTGCTTCCATCCCTTAGGTCAGCTCTCTCCTCACTCTCCTGGCAGCTCTCCCATGAGCCTGCCTTCCCAGCACTGCAGCTGGAGACTTCTCCTGACCCCCAGGGCAGATCAGGTCCCCCAGAAGCACCAGGAGGGACCACATAGTGCACTCAGGGATATGCCATCCACCCCCACCTGGCTGTGGTCCCTGCCACTTCCCTCACACCCCAGGCTATTCCCACCCAAATCACAGGCAGGACCTGTCACTTCCTTGGAGTGAAGCTCAAATGGGGTCCTCAGAAATGCCACCAGCTGCAGATGGAACTGCAGCTAAAAGCAAGGTCTCTGGACTATGAGGCCTCTGGAGCTGCACTCGATAAGTGCACACTGCCTTCCAGACTAGGCCTTCACAGCACGCACGTGTGTGTGCTCTCTCTCTCTCTCTCTCTCTCTCTCTCTCTCTCTCTCTTTCACACACACACACACACACACACACACACACACACACACAAATTCTATACATTTTTTTTTCACTTTAGATTGTGAGACTATGCATTCAGGATGACATATCCAGAGCCCCTTTTGGGCTCTCAGGGACTATTTCACCCAAGGTCAGTTTGGGCCTCCAGAACAGAATCTGTGTGGATTGCATGGGACACTGCAATTTAACTGGAAAGAACCTGCCCAGGCCATGGGTGGGGTTTCTAGAACTTGACCTGTGATAAACCGCAGCCTTTGGCAACAGGGGGACTGTTTATTTATACAGGCTCCTTCCAGGTAGACTGCCAGCACCCACTGCCCCCACCTCAGTCTCTCCCACTCACAGGTCCCCTACCCTGGAGACAGCCCTGCCTTCCTCCTATAAAGACATCCATTTCCTACCAGGAAGAGTGTGCATGGATGAGGGCGGACGCAAGAAACAAAACTAGGAACAGAATGCAGGACCTTGGAGGAAAAGTCAGAGGGGCTAAAGGAAAGGCTCTCATGAGGGCAACATCACTTCTGCTCACAAAGTCGCACTTAGGTTTGTGCGTTTTTCAAGGAAATAAAATGACACCTTACAACTGGGTGTGGTGCACACGCCTGTTATCCACACTACTGGGATGCTGAGGGAGGAGGGCTGCATGTTCCAAGGTTTTGTCTCAAAAAATGAAAAGGGGGGCACTGGAATGAAATTCTGTGTGAGAGAGTACCGTGTGGCAGAGAGCTCTGCAGCACTCGCAGGACACACGAGTGAGCTTAGCTGTTTCCTTTTGTTTTTAATGAAAGTCACATCGCTCTTGAGAGAACAGTCTATCTGGCAGCAGAAGGCCTGAGGAGCCTCTGCAGGGAGCCAAGCGCTGTGCAGCGCCCTCAGGCGGCTACCGTCTCCCTCCCTAGTAAATTCCTGGAGGTGAGCTCCAGCCCGCACACATTTGGCTGGGGGCCTCACATAGCCACCTGCTCCATGGGCTTGAGGTTCAAAGACACAGCGAAGGTGCAGCCTGTGCTGATCTTGACCTTGTCCACTGTGGAGCCATTCCCAGAGCTCCACCAGCGTCAGCCTCCTGTTTCCAAGCAGTCAAACACAGCCCTCTCAGTGATGATGCGGTCCACGGAGCGCTTCCTCGATAGCGGCAATGTGCACTTTCTCACGATTTGAGGGTCTTTGCCTTGGTGCAGTGCTCCATGGTGACCAATACTTTGGTCTTGTCACCAGATACCAAATCCATGGCCCTGCCCACTCCTTTCACCTTCTTTCCCGGTATCATCCAGTTGGCCAGGTCGACGTATTTAGAAACCTGCATGGTGCCCAGTATGATCAGTTTGATGTGTCCCCTGCGAATCATGGCAGAGGAGTCATTGCTGGGAACAAAGTGACAGTCTGCTTGCCTGCGTTGATGACATCTGGATCCACATCATCTTTCGATAAGAATGGGCCCAAGCCCAGGATTCCTTTGTCACTGTGCAGATAAACTGTCATGTCAGGGCTGACGAAGTTGCTGGCCAAGAGAGTGATTCAGATGCTCAGATTGGCATATAAGCAGTCCTCAGATTCAAGAGCCGAGCATTTGATCATGAGCATCCTTAAGTCTTCTCTCAGCGGGGCTTTCCCATCTTCTTTGCTCCACAGGACTAAAATCTCTCTCTCTTTTTTTTCCCTCTTATTTCGGCCCCTTTATCACGCGATCACATATATGGTGGGAACGTGAATGGGAGAAAAGTCCCCACGTCCACGATTTCTTCCACTTCCACAACCGTGACATCGCAGCCTTGCACTTGGGCACGTTGAAGGTCCTGGCGCTTCCCTTGAAGATCACGTTGCCGGCACTGTCCACCCCTTCACCAAGGCGAAGTCCTCCCTGAGGCGTGCTCCAGGAGGTAGTGCTGGCCCCGGAACTCTCTCACCTCTCGCAGCTGGCTGGGGATGGCCAGGCTGCCACCTTCCTGCACTAGCTTGCGGTAGTCCGTGGGCGTGGAGGCGCTCGGCCAGGGTGCCCTGTGGCGTCAGCCCCAGGTCCAGCTCGCCCTCCAGCTACCGCTGCTCGCAGAGTGTGTTTTCGCCCAGATGGGAGCAGACCACGCTGCGGACCTGCTTGGTGGCTAGGAAGAGGCCCAGGCCGAAGTCGTCCACGCCCACGTTGCTGCTCACCACTTCAGGTCCCTCTCCACTGCGGTCCTCAGCAACGCGGCCATCAGGTTCTCGGGGTTCCCGCAGAGCCCAAACACCCCCGCCCCCAGCATGAAGGTCGCCCGGTTGCGGATGTCCTTCACCATCTCCTCCGCGTCCGTGTAGAACTAGGCGCCGGACCAAGGGCTGGTGGCGGAGCGGCGGGCGCAACCCTGGGACAGCGCTGGCCCAAGCGATTGGCAGGGACATGGAGCCGCAGCCCCGCCACGGTCAGTGGGGCTCTGAGGTCAGAACAGGTCGGCTGCACCAGGAGAGTGTTCCTCTGGCCGCAGGGAGGGCGCCGCATCCCGGACGCCGCCTGGGGCGCGCTCCGCGTGGGGGCGCCACCACTATCCCTACTTCCCCGCCTGCTCCCCACCGAAACCCAAACCCTGCCGAGCTTCCTGAAACTCAGGAGCTAGAGCACTGCAGGGTGACCTGACTGGGATGGTGTTTGAAGGTGATAGGCGCCCGTCACAGCATTCAGTGGTGCCAGGCGCTCACACTGGTTTATTTCCTCTGACACCCTGCAGTGAGTGCACCCACACCTGTGGCGAGTTAAGCTCCCCCTTCTTGAGCGGGGAATCTCAGAGCGTCCTTTTCAAAAAACCTTTGTCAGAACCTGTTATCACCCATTGCTGCTAAACTACCCTTAGAAACCCCAAACGCCTGGCCCGGCTGTTTACCCGGGCTCACAGTGACCCTTGCCCACCCTCAGTCTCCTTCCTAGGTCTCCCTCCTGCCCTCTGCTCCTCCATGTGGCCCTCTCACTGGACCTCAGACAGACCAATCTTGTGCTGGCCTTGGCCTTTCCATCCACTGCCTGGTATAAAGGCATGCTCCCCCAAATTCCTGTATGTGAAGAAGAGAGGGAACCTCCTTTTGTGGATGAGGAAACTGAGTCTTGGGAAGGTAAGTAACTTGCTGATGTCACTGACTCACGCAGCTGGGATTCCAACCACAGCCCCTCACTCAGCCTGAGGATGAAGCCACTTCCCACTACTGTCCTTGGAGCACAGGAACTGCCAGTGTGGAGGGCCTCTTGCAGGGGGAACTCCCCCTTCCTGGGGAAGGACACCTGGACTCTCAGCACCTCAGATGTTCCTCAGAAGAAGGGGAGGAAAAGCAGCTCTGGCTGAGGGCATCCTTGTGTCCAGGACCTCACTCTCTCAACCCACTGGAGTCTTCAGAGTGGGCACAGCAGAGAAAGACCAGGCACCCAGGAACCAGTGAGGCCACTTTGGACAATTCTAGAGGCCTCAGCTGGCACAGCCTCCTGGAGCCCCAGGGGAGCTCACCCAGCCCAGACCCTGAGCCTCACCATCCTCAGTTTCCACATAGAGACGAAGTCCCAGGTCCTTGTTACGGTTCAGCAACCAGCGGTCACTGGCTGCTGTGACATCCAGCACCAGCCAGCCCTCGTCCCCAGCTTGAAGCGTCTGAAGATCCAAAAAGAACAAGTCAGACTCCCTGTGGACACGAAAGAACAATTAACTGATGGCTGAGGGCCGGTCCAGCTGCCTCTGTGGGTCTCGTGCCACCTGGGGACCACTACTGGAACATCTATCCTGCCCTGGCTCTGAGCTCTGTCTGTGCCTTATTTCACTGATAATCAACTCAAAACATGGTACTGTGCAGGTGGGGAAACTGAGACTCAGTGGCTCAGTGACCCGTCCAGGGGCCCACAGTCAGGATGGCAGGGCAGGAACTGTCTGGCCCAGCATCTTTCCCATCTCTGAGGCTCTTCTCCCAGGAAGCTCCCCTTTCTTTCTCTGGGAAATCCCCTTCCCCCCAGGTGGGGCAGGACACACTGCCAGAGCCTTGACCAGGAGCCCATGAGATGGGAGGTGCCTGGGCCGAGGGAGGCACCTGTTGGAGTGCTCCTGGACCACCTCGAACATGCTGATGTGGAGCGTCGTGTTGAGGGGGTGGGTGCTGGGCAGCTTATAAATCCGGAACTCTGCAGCTGTGACAGCCTCCCCTGCTGGGATCTGGGTCAGATCAAAGCGGAACTCCTTCCAGTGGGGCTCCTGGTGGCCCAGGGCGCGGTCACGTTCCACTGGAAAACAAAGTGGGAGCCAGGTGGTCACATGTGTTTGGAATGGTTCAGGCTCCAGAGCAGGCAGAGCCAAGTGTTGGCTGCCACGACCTAATGGCTGTTCTTCAAAGGGCCCTGCGCAGCCTCCGTGGGGCCAGCCTCCTCCTCTACACATGAATTTGTTCCTGACTCTGCTGGGGGAGTGTCCTGAACACAGAGCCCAGGGACAGAGATGCTCAACAGGCCAAGCCTAAAACTCATCCAATGCCACCTTGTCTCCTTGATGGCACCAGCATCCATGATAAAGGGCAGAAGGCTCTCCTCTGGGAACTCCCAGTCTAAAGGGAATATGGACATGGGACCCAAGGCAGGAAAAGGCATTAGTCCCATGGGACTACCTGGCTGCATTACAGTGGGACAGTGACTTCCCAGAGTCTGCCCTTGTGCCTGGATGGGAGGTGGGGGAAGGGGAAAGCTCAGATCTGACATCTGAGCCAGGCTGTGAGGCCTGAGTGCAAATTAGCCGCAGTGTTCAAGGAGGGGGGCACTGCAGAGGACAGTAGAGTGAGGCCAAGGGTTGAAGGACCAAGGGCAGGGAGGGACAACCACTGCCAGAAACTATGGGAGACAAAGGACCCAAGGACAAGGGGAAGAAGGAAGGAGGGAGAAAGAAGGAACAAGGAACACCAAGGTAGGAATGACAAGCTCCCGGAAAGTTCTAGAAAGTCAGAGGGTTCATGGTGTGGTGACATCTGAGCTGGACTTGACAAATGGGAAGGCATATCGATAGATGGTGAGGTGGCAGGGTGGGCTCTAGGCTGAGGGGAGTGGTGTGTGTGGGTGAGGAGTGCTGGGGACCACCCACTGATTCGCTCCCTGGGTGCAACAGTGGGTCTGGCTGGGCCCGCTTTATGGGGGGCTGGAGCCCTGGGCTGAGAAGTGAGGCTATGACTCTGGCCAGTGGGCAGCAGTGTGGTCTGAGAGGCACCCTGTGCTGGCAAGGGTGGAGGGTGAGACAGGCAGAGGGTGAGACCTGAGGTGGGGACTGGCCCAGCTGTCTGGGCAAAGGCCACGGCTGTGGAATAATTTGCCCAGCTGCACAGACCTGCTCAGATGGTATATTTAGGGCAGTCTCACTTTAGCTCCCTGTCACTTATATCAAAAATCAGTGTTTCCGGAAAGCAGGGTGGGAGTTGCCCAGTGCCTTCCCTAAAACCCAACACTGAGATTTTAATTGTATGTTTCTGAGTCTTTTTAAAACCTTCCATGGTTACTGGGTTCAGTGACCACAGGTCAGGTTTTAAAAAGCACCAGGCTGAGCTGCCAGATGGATGTGGGAAGCACTTCCTGTCTTTGTGGTCCCCACATGTCATCCCTGGTCCAGGAATGGACGGGCACACAGCTGTGCTGGGTGGAGCCAGGGGATAGGCATGTTAGGGCAGGAGCAGGTGGGAGGCTTCATCCCCTGCCCAGGGAGGAGAAATGGGATGGAGCATGCGTGTCCCACCATGCATCAGGGTGCTGTGCACAGAGTGCATGCCAACCTGAGGGCTTGGCTGTTTCAGAGGCAGTGTGACAAGGGCGAGGTCCATGTCCCTCCTGCATATGCAGATAGCATTGAGGGCAGGATTCTGGACCTTTGCTGAGTGATTCTTGTGTGGTGAATAACTACACCCATGTGTCCTGCCTATAGACACAGTTATACACATACAACTTTGGTGACAATTTAAGTGGTTTCAGGAATGACACAGATACCTCTGTTGCATGGCTATGAAAAAATTCCTGATTTTTAGGATGAAATAGATTTAGGCTGTTGGCTGTCACAGGATGTGAGACAGACCGTGAAGGAGGATTCCTCAGGCACTCTATTCTCCTGACTTCATTCAAAGCATTATTATGTACATCATTATGTCACTGTGGGGTTGACAGGTGCATTCTGAGGGCTCCCTCTTGGGTCTGGGGACTGAAGGAACAATCCACAAACCTGCCAACTCTGTGGCTCCCAAGCTCTGTAGCTGCCCTCCCTTGATGACCATGTGACCTGCATAGACTGTCTCAAAACATTCTTGTTCAATCTCCAAACTTCTGTCATGGTTTGTGAAATCAATAAACCAAGCAGGGATTCCAGCCCAGGAAACTGCCCAGCCTGGCTCTTCCAGGCAAGCACTAGAAGTTGGGAAATTTTTAGGAAAACAGTGAATTTCATCTGAAGTTGATAAAGCTTCCTGAGATGCAGCATTGAAACAGATATTACTGGAACTGGCCAAGGGAAGTGCCCCTTTCTCTGCTGAACCGTATGGATTCCCAGCTGCCCAGTGGCTGCTCCTTTGGATCCAGAGAGCTGCTCTTGTACAAGAGCATTTGTAGGAACCTGGATTTTCCTCTGGTAGTGCTGGGGAAGGCTGTCTCTATTTTAGCCCCTAAGACAGCACTGAGAAGCATAGCTGATCTGACCAGTAGTTGGTGCTCCAGGCTCCGGTTCTGACCCTGCAGCCACCAGGCACTTCCATTGTGTGATCTCAAGTCTCCCTGTCTGTGAAGTGGGGACACTTTTCACACAGGGCTGTGAAAAGGCAAGGACTATGGGACAGAAGTGGTGGCCATTCTTTAGGAAGCAGGAGGGGTGTGACCTCTAATTTCCAAACTTAATAGATGTATTGAAGTGATAGCATCCAGGCAGCTCATCAGGAGAACATGTCTGACACTCAAAAGCCATGGGGTGGGGGAAGGAAGGCATCCACTTTTCTCTTTCTAAATAAAAGTAGGGAGTGAGAAAATATGTCAGTTCAACTGAAAGACATCTGGATGGCTTCCAGGTGTCTCCTCACCCACCTGACATTAGTGATAGCATTTAACCTTTTGGGTTCAGTGTCTACATCTGCAAAATGATCCTTTGATATAGGGCCAAATGGAAACTGTAAAGAGCCAGGTTTGTTACTGTCATTGGTAGTTGGTTATGCTCCAATAGATGCTTCTGACATATTATCCAGGGATATTTCCTTCTCAGTGCATGCCCAGCCCCCACCACATAGCCAAGGTCTGGAATCTCCCAAAGATGCCAGAACTGCACACCACTGGGACTGTCTCCAAGTTCTGGCTCAGACAGAGAGCACCTAATACAACTTGTACTTTTTTTCCCCTGCAAGGTGCTGTGTGGAAGACCAACCTTACACGTGACTGAGTCACACTCCCTGGCTGGGTGCTGAGGCTCTCAGTCACAGAAATGTGGCAGAGCTTTCCTCACCCTTCTTGGGTGCGAGGGTTGGTGTCTCGTGCATGGGTGTGTCTTGCTACAGTCCCATGGGTGAAGCTATGCTCACCGGTTCCTTTGTAATATAACCCCTTGCCCTGTTTAGGATAGAATCTTCCATAGAAATGCCTTGTGTGTGTGTTCCCTTCTCTTACTGTGCCCTGGGTGTGGCCTACCCAGGTGTCAGTCAACCTGCTGACAGTGGACATCATGAAGATAGACTCAGCCCCCTGAAACCTGACCCCTTGCCTCATTTGAATAGCTTCTCCTCAGTAAAAGGGGTCAGCGGGTGCTCTCGCTCTCTCTCTCTTCCTGTGGACTCTTAAGGACTGAGGAGCCCTGACAGCGACCCCAAAGAAAAAGGTACTTGTGTCTCTTGTGTGGTTATTTTGCGCAGCCCAGTTAGCCCAGTTCACATGAGTAACCCCTGAGCCTTTTAGTCGAGAACAGAAACCTGGAAGTGCTGGGTATCAAATCCAGGGCCTTGCATATGCTAGGCAAGCACTCTACCATTGAGCCATATGCTTAGCCCACTACTTGCACTTTTATGCACATGTGGGAATGGAAACCAGGAGTCCCAGCTGGGCTCCTTCCACCATGGTGGTCCACCACTGTGTTTGCTGAAAAAAAAGGCATAAAAACTAAGTTGGAATTGGCTCCTAACAACAAAGCACAAAATGCATGCTATGAGCTAGGCATGGTGGTGTATGCCTGTAATCCCAGCAGCTCGGGAGGCTGAGGCAGGAGATCGTGAGTTCACAGCCAGTCTCAGCAACTAAGCAACTCAGTGAGACCCTGTCTCTAAATAAAAAAAAAAAAAGGGGGGGGGGTGTTCTGGGGATGTGGCTCAGTGGTTGAGTGCCCCTGAGTTCAATCCCTAGTACAAAAACATGCTCTGGGTTGAGGGTCCACAGAAAGAATTTGTGGGAAAGACCAAGGTCTGTTCAATTGCTGGCAGTAGAAAGTTCATCCCTGGGTTCCTGGCCGATTCAGATAGGTGTGAGGAGGGTGCCCTCTACCCAGTCACTGTTCTGGATTCCAATAATCTGAGATATGTCCTGCCAGGAATCCTCTCTCCAAGGTGGCCCTGAAAGGGACCATTGATGTTTGGAGCAAGGTTTCTGAATAATAAATTATTCCCCCCCCCCCTTTACAAAATCTGGGGCAGGAATTGCTAATTTCCAGGGTCCCATAATTTCACTTTTGGGCATGTGGGAGAAGATTCCTAACTCTGTTTCCTTCTCAACTTTCTGAAGGCTTCAGTTTTCCCATTTGTTTTTCCTGGTCACATCCAAGAATATTAATCATTTGCTGAACACATTTGGAAGCTGAGCATACTGTATGCAAGTCCCTGTATAGACATGGGAGACACTTCGATCAAAAGACAGACCTGTCCACCAGGGAAGCTAGATAAAAACCACATAAACCACAAGAGCAGCACATGTAATAAGTGCTACCAAGGACGTAAAGAAAGGGTGTGACTGGAAATAACATAGGGAGTATGTGGGGGACCATTTTATTTATGTTTTCAGCTTTATTTTGAAATAATTTTAGATTATTTAGATTTCAAGAAAAGTTGAAAGAATAGTACAGAGACTTCTCATATATTCTTCCTCTAATGATCACATCTTTGTTGTTGTTTGTTGTTACTGGCGATTAAACTCAGGGGTGCTTAACCATTGAGCCACATCCATAACCCCTTTTATTTTCTATTTTGAGACCAGGCCTTGCTAAGTTACTGAGCCTGTCCTTCAACATGTGATCCTCCTGC